TGCATTCTTGAAAGCGTATCTATATATCTGCTTTCATATATATATATATATATATATATATATATATATATATGTGTGTATACTTTCACACCTTAGAAATTACAGCATGAGAGTACAAGGGACATACGGTGAAGAGAATGCTTCGCGAAGCGACGCGTTTTTCGCTCTGTGACCATGTAAATCTCCCGGGACGTGGTCATAGGTCTGTGAATTGACATGACATGAGATTACATGAAAAGCTCACGGCCACGTACCAAACGTTACAAACTCACGCTGATGGTGACACAATGCGTATAAAGTAAACTAGTCTGATTATCCTAACGTGAAGGTGACGTGAAGGTCTCTCCATGTCCAAGTCTCCAGACGCTGACAATGTGCCCCTTTCCTGCTCCAGAAAAGGGCTCACTGAGCTGGTGGCCCTTCTGCTCTCGTATGGCGCTCATGTCAACTTCATCACAGAGGACGGCAAAAGCTCGGCACTGTCGTTGGCGTGCGCCAATGGACACCTGGAGACGGCCCGCATCCTGGTCAAGGTCACGATCTCAGGGGTACCCCAGCATACGACATTCGCTGTTAGAACATGCTGTTCCCAGGCGAATCCTCATCTGAAGTGTACTGCCACGCATCTGTGTCATGCGGTGCATGCTCTTAAAGGGAGGATGGCCACTTATTAATAATTAGTTGTTGTTTACACCATGTGTCTCTTACAGTTGGGCTAGCTCGGACGCGACAAACATACGAGCGCTTTCTAACATCCAGTTTAATACGAAATTAGCCGCGAGTGATTGAGGGGAGAGCATCTGGACATAACTTCTGAGGATTATTTTGGATGTGTTGTGGCGCGCTTCCTCTGCTGGCATGCACCAATCTCCACCAATGCAGTTTGCGACGTTACACTATCTCTGGCGCACCCGTGATCATCAGCTCTGACCTTATTTCAACTGCCGGTCTATCATCGTCGGCCATCGACACAGACTGTTGCAAGGAGCCCAGTAAAACACTCTGCATCCCCGGGAATACTCGGCACTACTCACGGCCTCCAACTCTCCCGTCACAGTGCCCGTCACAGCTGACACTCGTGTCTTGGTCACTCTCTCAGGACGGAGCCGAGATCAACAACTGCGCTGTCCCACCGCTGTTTGAGGCCGCATGTGTCGGCAAGGACGAGATCGTCGAGTAAGTCTGATGGCCTAATGCAGCCTGCCAGTGCCGTGGACTTGGGCCAGGCGTGTTCCGCTTTGCTCACGTCGCCGGATATTGCAAGTTGCTTACACTGGCAAACTAGAGATTGCCAAGAAGGCCGAAATGTCGCCATGAAACCTCCGATTGTTTTCATAAGACCATTCAAGTTTCAGTTTCAGTTTTCAGATGATAAGAAACGTGCGAGTCAAAAGTTTGCACGAAACTTGCGAAAAAAAAATTAGTAGGGCACTGGAACGAAACCTTCGGGTTCCTTGCAGTACCTGTTTAAAACTTGTCTCTGCCTGCTGACGCTTCTGGAGTATTCTTATTATTTAGCACGTCTGTTAGCATGCCAGTAATGAGCTTTCTCATCGTGCCAATCTCCCTGTGCAGCGGAGCTGGCCGTATCAGTCTTTCCTCCATGGCTGGAGAAACACCGCCCGTGATGGGACTCGATCCCGCGGTTACCAACACTGACCGATCGAGCGCCATGCCTGTGACATCTGGCCGCTGGTTCTGGAGGCTTATCCGACGGCTGCGCTTTTCGCAGTTGGCTGCTGCGGCTGGGCGTTCCGGTGCAGCATCAGAACAGTGACGGAGACACGGCACTGATCAAGGCAGCCCGGCACGGCCAGACGGCGGTGGGGCGCATCCTGCTGGAGCACGGCGCTGATGTGGTGAGCGATCCGCACTACCGAGCGTCCAGACGTGGCCAGCGTTCTCTCCCGACGTTCTCCAGCGTTCTCTGTCCGACTTATTTTGACGTGATGCACATCGAAGTCATGAGGAGCCCTGCACTTACACAGCCACTTATCATTCTCCAGTACATACGCTCACATCGAGTCTCGCTACCAGTCGTTCTCATGTTCTCAGCCAGCCCAGTGTTTTCAGATCGTCACGTGACGTCCTCACGATTACCTCCGCCGGCCTGCAGGAGGCGCTGAACCACTGCAACCGCTCAGCGCTGATGGAGGCGGCTGCTGGAGGCTACAGCGGTGTCGTGCTGTTGCTGTTGGGCTATGGCGCGAACGTGAACCGGCCCTCGCCCGACAACACAGCTACGGCCCTGAGCCTGGCCTGCCGCGGCGGCTGGCACCACACTGTCCGCCTGCTGCTGCTGCGCGGAGCCGACCCCACGCACCGGCTCAAGGCAGGTGGCCGCCGTGGCCGGGCCTGACGTTCCGGCGAGGGCGCGAGCTGGCCTGGCTGGCGACGCTGGATTGTGCAGCGCTCAGCGGACGCGGCCCGGAGAGGAGAAAGGGCTGCTTTCAGGGGAGGGGGCACGGTACTAGAGGCGGGGTTTGATGGACAGTGGGTACGAGGGTCTTGCAGGGGTAAGATTTACTTTGTCCATTCCACTCGCTACTCATGGAGGCGTGTACATACCCACCCACTACATATTTGCAAGCAGTAGTCTACACCCGCTATCCAAACGTTTGCATTGCCAAGCACTTCTGTTCTGAATCATGGAAACTTTTCAGCAAAGTTTGCGCCTAGTCCCACTTGTTTGCGTTGCTAATTGCAAAAGTAGTATAAGTGAAGCTTTTATCACTCAAAGAAGCGGCAAATAACCCTTTTCAGTGTTTCCTGAACTATCTACATACCATTTCGTAACCGCCTTGCGTCTTAAATCGCAATTTCCACATCATACTTACCAAACTCAATCCGTTCCATATTCCATTCGAATACCCATGGGCTTACCCGACCTAACAGTTTTATAATCACCTAATATGGGACTTGTAACCCATAGGACTAATCAGTCTTGTAATGGGGGTGGGGGTGGGGGTGGGGTAGGGGGGGGACGGTTCAGACGGTTCAGGATGTGAAGACCTGTCAGAGGGTGGTTGCAACGCTGATGACGGGTCAAAGGGTGGCAATGATCGCCAGACCAGATCTGTTGGGCGGGAGTGTGCGAGCGCCTATCATCAGATCGGTCCTGACGGGCCATCTGGCCGGGCTGGGTATCACCCCTGCCGTCAGCGGCTCGTATCAGCACGAGGAGAGCGGCGTCTTCAGCGTGTCTGGTGGGCGGGCCGGCCCTGCGTCACGCCGTGACGCTGTTCTGCTCGAGAGGCGCTGCTGAATCGCATGCACTCTACACCAGCGTGGAAATGACCATTGCTTCAAAGTCGGGCGCCTAGAAGCGCGTGACGATTTCTGACCGGCACCTTTCTTTCTAATCCCTAGGGTGATTCATCAGCCCTGGTGGAGGCGGTTTTGAGGGAGCATGTGGAAGTGGTTCGTCTTCTTCTGCGGTTCCCGAACATTCCTCCGCTCTCTGATGAAGAGGTGAGGCCGCGTCATCCGTGACATCATGGTACAGTCAGCTGTCTCATGCGTATCCACCGCTCCTGACCGCGAATGCTCCCATTCTGTTGCGTGGGCGATGACTGGATCATTTCACATTAAGAAGCAGTGGTCGACAAGGGCTAGGTTTTTACGTTTGGTATTGTTTCCGAGTGGATTGTGCTTATTGGACATCTCTAACCCCAACAGGGTGACAGCATGACCTTCGGCATGCGCGAGCTTTTTGTCTCTCTGTCACGGCCGTTCTCCACCCCCAATTTTGGGTTACTTTTCTTCAGGCTTGACCTGCTTAAACATACGATAAAAGGCAATGAAGCTGTATCATTTTTTGAAATTAGTAAGTGCAACACAAATATCTACATTGCAAATCCGATTCCAAGACTGGATGAATACATGGAGATCATAAGGAACCGTGTGGACAGAATCTGTTGAGTGGTGGTGTACCGGAAACTGTCGCCGGGACATGAAACGTGCGATTGCAGCTCATTTAAGAACCTGATGCTTGGTTGAGCCTGATGTGGACAAATAGTAGAAACCAAGAGGCGGTGGTACAAAGCACAAATAAAAAATAGTTTGGATGCGTAAACTGTCTGTTGGCAGAGCGTCTGTTGCTGTACCTCGCCAAGCAGTCGGCACCGCGTGAGGCTCTACTTATGATATCCATGCCATGCCGCTGGCTTTTGCTGTCTGCAGGACTCGTGCCCGTCCGGTTCCGGTCAGCTATGGCTTTAAGATCCCCTCCCCCTGGGTGTGAAACTGAGCCTGTACGTTCGTTTTTCTACCGGCAGCTGGCCTCCCTGATCGATATGGAGATGGACTCGGATGAAGAAGGCGATCCCCAAGGTGGGAGGTATGACAGCCAGGACAGAAAAGGCCACAGGCAGGGCGAAGCTCAGCAGACACAGGACGCGGACTTGTTCTGGCAGGACAGAGAACTCCAGAAGCGAGAGAACAATGTATTCAGGCAGGACGAAAACTGCTTCATCGAGGGGGAAGACGTTCTCAGCCAGGATGAAACGTCATACTCGAGCGACAGCTCAACAGAATGCTCCGATGACACGGACGACAATGCCTCTGACGATGATGATGAAGACGATGATGGTGATGACGCAGGTGGGTGTCTGTCTCTCAGTCATGGGAATCAAGCAAGCTGACCGCATGCGAGGCGGCTCTGTGCATCAGCTGAAGCTCCGGTGGCCGTTCCCCCGACTGGCCGACTCTCGTGGTCCAGCCAGATGGACTGAGGACGGAGCGTTGGGAGCGTGTTTACTTAGCCTCCCCAATGTTATCGATGCATGGCGTGTTTGGGTATTATGTGAAAGCTAGATGAATCTCCGAACAACGGTGCGGTTCGTGATCAAGGTATCACTTGACTCGCATTCACTCTCCCCGCTAATTAGTACTGCGGAAGACCAGACTCGCAGTTAAAACCTGTCCTGGTCAAGCTCAGTTACTTAAGTCACTTCCTCATCACGTTTAACCTTGTTCATGTAACAGTGAAATGCCGGAAACTATATATTAATGCAAGTTATTCCGTTTTGCAGACAGCGGTATGCAGTCTGCGTCCTCCAACGACCAAACGGTAGGTCACTCCTGACAAGTTACTGCGCACCGAAGTGCATTCATGTTAATTTCACAGTCAAAATGTCATGATTTGCATTGCATAGTCACTCTGGCCACCAGATCGGCTATAATCAGTGAACTGCCGACTTTTAGAAAATCGTACAAACGTTGAATTTCTCTAACGATGTTAATTGCTGCGCTTTTGTAAATTAGTTGTCGAGTTAATCTCTCGCGATTCGTGCCCTGCAGTACCCTGCGTTTATTGCTGCTGCTCTTCTTTTCATCGCTCGTATTGTTTACTGGAATACCATGGTATCACACCCCTTGCTCAGCATGGATAAATTGAGTTCACAAAGCAATATAGATGTGCATAACCGGCCAGGTGGTTCCGTTACAGTTTCCGTTTCTTCCACAGGGCGGCGCTGCATGTGCGCGAGCACACGACGCCGTCGCCGCGCCTCCGGCTGAGGCTTCTAAGGCCTCTGGCTCAGAGGCAGCGGCTTCTGAGGCCTCTGACTCAGAGGCAGCGGCTCAGCCTCTGAGCGGCCCGGTGACCGGCGCCCAGCTCACCCGCAGGGCTGAGTTCCTCAGGCAGCAGAGGCTGGACATCCGGGAGAGCATTGTCCAGTACCTGCGGGACGATGCCGCCCTGTCTCGTCTGAAGGTCAGTCATCGGGTCACCCTTCCCCTCATTCCATACGCTCCACTGGGGGACGCGGGAGGGTTCAGGGCCGGCCCGTGTCACGCGGAGTGGGGTAGGGGGTATGGGTGAGTGAGGTGGGGACGGGTGTTGATTGTTAAACGGGCTGATGTAGAGGGATCGATGAAATGTGCAGGGACATGGCTGCAGGAACATTTGGAAGAGAGGAAACGAGACCATTGTAAGACACAACTGGCAGGTGGACCTATCACAGGGGTGGTGACTGGCTGGAGGTCATCTCGCACGGATAGGAAAGGCACAGCGCTTAGAAGAGCCACCTCCCCCCTTTTCGACTTTGGACAATCTAGCATTGTCCTGCGGTGTTCCACGTGTGAAAATAGCAAAGGGACTGACGTTGCACCCTTCCTTCCTCCCATTTGCCCCTCCCCCCCCCCGCTGGGTTTCACCGTCACTGATCAGACGAAATGCAGTTCGCGCCTGTGCGCCGATGAACATCCCTGGAGTATTTCAACCCTGTAGCGATTGGCCTGTGGTCGAACAACAAATGACAGAGCAATATGCGCTAGTGTGACGGTGTGTAGGTGAAGTCTGAGGAGGAGGGTGTTGGTGGGAAGGGGAGGGGTGAGGTTATAGGATGGCTGGACATTGCTGATTGGAGCACACCGCCCCGGCTGTGGTCGGTTTAATACGTCCTTTGATGTGTGTTCCTCAATTTTCTACGCAAAAAAAACGCACAAAGCTGCTGTGCTATCACAAATAAAACCCATGGAGCTCCTTGAGGCCTATATGGCAGCCAAGCGTTTTGCAGGAAGAACGTGTGAAACTTGTACTTGCATGTGTATGCCGCTGCTGTTTGCTGCTGCGGGTTTCCGACAGCATCGTCTTTTGTCTGTGCCACGCGACCGTGACCTCACATGACCCAGAGCACCGCCCTTTCGGCCTCCGAGGTGTCTCATCGTCGTGCTGATCTTGACCTCGCTGCCGAGCAGACCACGCTGAGGCAGCAGGAGACAGTGACGCCCGCCGAGAGGGAGGCCTTCATGCTGGAGAGGGACAGGTTGCAGCAAGTCCACCAACAACTTCAACAGCGGCTGCGGGAGAGCGAACAAGAGGTGTGTCTTCGACGGTCGGTGCTCGACCGCATGACTATTGTTGACTATTTTTGACTGTTGACTATCTTGATTATTGCTTTTGCACTTTTTACGCCTGACTAAACCGTGGACTATCCGGACATGACAAAGCGCGCGGCCGTGTCACAAAAAGTAACTGCATATTTTTTGGTTGTTTTATTAAAGCCGACCGCATAGAGTCCCCAGTGTATCAATGCAAAGCTTCGTTTGGTCCACTTTGGTCATCTGTAGAGGCACGAATGGTTAATATTTTCCGTGACGTCATGTAGATTATTTCTCCGAAGCGGCGATTCTTTTCTTATTTTTTATCATCTTTGGCCATCGACCGCGCGGTAAGCATACGGTCGCCCCTAAGCAGAGCCACTCATGTAGCCGCGCCCGAGACAGCTGGTGGGAGTTGGCCTTCATACACCAAATATCACAATGGTCGTCAGGGAAAATAAAACTTAAACTTCGCCGAGGTCATGCATTAAGCAATGGATATCGTTTAATGTCTGAATGGAATATCTGTGGTGTAATAAGCTTCCAGCGCCTTGCTTCCAACATTGCCATACCCGAGGCCTCTTTGTATTTTGACGGATGGCGATCGACTAGAACGATAACGGAGTTGTGTCCAAGGCGTCCTGTTCACGAGCGTTCATGGTCCGAACCTCCTCTGCCCGCCAGATCACGGAAGATTTCAAGGTCATCCACCAGAACGAGGAAGTCCCCATATCGCCCCAGCAGATAGAAGGTGCGGCTTAGTTGGTACTGTGGTCCACAGCTGACTGGCAAGCCTAGGTTCCTCTCTGGTCAGCCGCAGGAGCAGGAGCTTTGTGTCGGAGTAGGAACAGGAGCTGGCGCAGGAGACTTGCATGAGTTCCGCGGGGCCCGGAAACCAGCTGCTGTAAAGAGAACCTCGGCATTATTTTTACAAAAAAGTACATATACGTGCAACATATGCATATATATATATACATATATATATATATATATATATATATATATATATATATATATATATATATAATGTCTCATGGGCGCACCTCGCTTCACACCTGTCTGTGTGTCCGGAAATGGTGTTGTCTGGACTGGATCTGGATCGAATCCGTGCGAATCACAGCCCTTGTAATTGAAATGGATTCTGAACCAAATGATTCAGGTGCTATCGGGGTATGCGACCAGAGGTGGCATTCCGTGAGTCAGAGCTGGTCGTCATTTGTGCTGTTTTCTGGGCGAACCGTTGCCGCTATTCGTCCTGTACAATCTCACCACTCTTCGCTCGTGACGTGCTTCCATGTGACCGTGACGTGCTTCCATGTGACCGTGACGTGCCTCCATATGACCGTGACGTGCTTCCATATGACCGTGACGTGCTTCCATATGACCGTGACGTGCTTCCGTAAGCATCAATGCTGCTCCTCGTTCCGGTGAGGTGGTGTGTAAACGATGCTGCCACGTAAAACTGATTGGTGAACCAAACCGTGCTTCACATATTGTGTTTTCTGGCCGACGGTGTCGACCCTGGTGGCTGGACAGTGAACTAACATTTGTTCGTGTTCGCAGCAAGAGGAAGGCGATTTTTGCCGGAATTTCTGGTGAATCGGGTGTCGTTCAGCGACCAGCAGTCGCCACTGGGCATGGCCTGCTCCCTGGGAAACGTCGAGGTGGTCCGTCTCCTCCTGGATAACGATGCTTCGATCGGTTAGTCTGGGGCGAACTTATTTCGATACCGTAATTGTGTTTGTTTTACTTTATGGTAAGGAGTTTCGCATGGCTGCTCGAATTTTAACTTTGCGCTTTCAAGCTTTCCCTGTCAGAAACACAGCCATCTCATTTCTGGGTTAATATTTACCGATGGGTGTTTCCTGGGTTATAAAGACAAAGGCTCAGCTTTAGGTAAGGGTGCCGCTCACCAGATGTAACAGACATCGGAGCTTATGCGTGGTGTGCCAGCTCACAGACAAAGACATCGATATAACACCGCATAATTTGCGATAAACAGATACGAGCTTCCCATTAGGTGCAAATCGACTTATTTATTGGGTACATGTATTTGCCGTAACCGCTGAGGGCGTCCGTGTCTGTGTTTGTATGCGCGTGTGGGAGATGAGGACAAAGTTCGTCGAAGGCGCGCAGCTGAGAGACAATGTAGTTGAACCGCAAACCACACCCACCACTCAGTGATTGGCTTACGGCGACCGTCTCATGTCAGACATGTGCGTCGAGGCTTGTCACACGAAGTGATGCGTAATCCACCGCCGGCTGTCGCTATCCCGGCTCTGACAGGCCTTTCTGCACCCAGAGCACAGCGACAGCCGTTACTATCCCGGCCCTGACAGACCTCTCTGCACCCAGAGCACACTGACAAGGCGGGCTTCACGCCGCTCATGCTGGCCTGCCGCGCCGGCCACACCGAGGTCGTACAGCTGCTGCTGCACAAGGGCGCCAACCACAGGCACCAGGCCAGCGGCTCGCTTGAAACGCCGCTTACGGTGGCTTGCATGGGCGCTCATCACCAAATCGCCCACATCCTCATCCAAAGGTAAGGTTCTGACCCCGGTGTATGCGTGCATGCGTGCGTTGGTGACTGTGGCAGAGGTGGGTGTGTTCGTGCATGCCACTCGTGTGCCCGTGCGTATGTGGCCTGGTCGATGTTGCAGCCGCCGTTTGCGTAGGTGGATGCATGTGCATTTACATTTGCCGAGGTTTGATATACTTGCATCCACTCGGCAAAGGTGTGTAATGCTTGCTCGGCACCGATCATGCGGCAACATCAGAACGGATTTCGTTGGTCAGAACCGCGCCGATGACTGACCGAAACGGATCCTCAGTTTTCCCCTTGACGTGATTCTCCACCTGTCGCTGGTGCCACCTCTCCCGGGCTTCCCTCACCGACGCTCCTGTGTCAGGGGCGCCCGTGTGGAGCACCGCAACGGCCACGACAACACGCCGCTGATGCTGGCGGCGGCCAGCGGCAGTGTACAGATCGTCCGACTACTGCTGAGGGAGGCGGTCGACATCAACAGCAGGCGGTCCTCCCGCTCCAACGTCACGCCACTGATACTGGCGGCCAGCCACGGACACCTGGATGTCGTCAGGTGATCCATCGGTCGGCCCCGGGCTTCGGCCTCACCTGGCCGGCGTCGCCAGGACAGCTAATTGCGTCGTCTTAGTACTAAATATGCCATACCTAGTACTATATATACTGTTTTTGGTACTATTTACGGCACACATCGTCTCGGTATCGTTCATCCCTTGCACGCACTTGCTGTATTTGTGGGTTAACGTTCGAGGAACAGTCTGGAACCAAGCAAGCCGTTTTCCAAGCATTTGGTGACCAATACGTGCATGAACCAGATATGGAATTTTAAACAGACCATTAGACCACTGAGACAACCAAGAGCCAGAGGAAAATCTTGAGATGCTAGAAATGTAATTAATCTGCTGCCGCCGACAGATATCTGCTGATGAAGGGCTGTGACGTCTCGGCCAGGGTCAAGGGCAACAAGCAGACGGCCTTGACCTTAGCTTGCTTCAAGGGCCACGACGAGGTGGTTGGTCTTCTGCTCCAGCATGGGGCCAACCCCGAACACGTCGCCATGTTTGGAACTTGTCAGGTGGAAAACGGACACTCTAACCGGCCTGTGCGATGAAGTCAGTTGTCAGCTGTTCATTAGGCCAAAAAAGATGCTGTCGTATTGATGGCGCGTCTGCCAAGAAGCGGTCAGAACCGCAGACACATGTTCCGAGACCACACCTTGCACTGACACGTTTGCAGTTTGCAGTCTAATCCGACAATGGCATGACCTGTCTGCAGTCTGACCCGACGATGGCATGACCTGGCTTAAGTCTGATCTGACAATTACATAACATGTTTGCAATCTGACCCGAAATTTCTGCAAGCTGGATCGATATGTTATCCGTTGGACATCATGTTGCATGATGGCGTGGATGCGGTCTGCACTATTGTTGATCTATACAGCCTAGCCGCACGAGTCAACAGTCTAACGAGGTGTGGCTGTAGTCGGAACTTCTACGTCCACAGGCTGAACTGGCATATCAACAGTGGCATACCGTGTCCACCGCTGGCCACCCTCGTACACAGTCTGACCTGATGACCTTCGCAGACGGAGATGACGCCGCTGATGGCGGCCGCCTACCAAGGCTTCCCGAAGGTGGTGCGGCTGCTGCTGGAGCGAGACGTAGATGTCAACGCCACGGTGCCCGGCGGCGGCGGCAAGACGGCGCTCATGCTCGCCGCCTGGCGCGGCCACACCACCCTCGTCATGCTGCTCATCGCCAGGTGGGGATCGGTCGGCACGTGAGCGGGGTTGCCATGGCGCGGCCTGGGGCGTCGGGCTGGGGTTGTGGTGCGGGTTGGATGCGGCTCGGCTGTGTCGCTGTGTGCTGCTCTGGCGGTCAGGTGCCAGTGGTGCTTCTGTTTTGGTTTGGGTGCACAGCTGCCATCATTCTGTCGCAACGCGCAGCATTTTAAACACCAGGAGCATTGCTCGCAGCCCCAGTACGCCATCACCCTTGTCATTGCTGTGCGTACGAGTTACTCGTCCCGCTCAAAACTAAGCTAAATGAACTGCTCGCCGAACAGCCATCGTGGCCTGCTTCGTCAAAACCCTGGTTGATGTTTACAGAGGGGTGGCAATCGAAGCCCGCAACACGGCGGGCCGCACTGCCCTCTGGTGGGCGCTGGACGCGGGTCACGGCACCATAGCACGGCTGCTGCAGACGTGCGGCGCCTCGGTCGACGTGCAGGACACCAGACAGGTCGGTGGCAGGCAGTCCGGACATGTCGTAACGACTGTAGCAGGGATAGATGTGTGTGTGATGGGCTCAAAAGTTGACAGGGCCTATGCCAGTCCAATGGAACACAGGGAGCTCCTGTTCTCCTATTGGGCCGTTCTCAGCATTGAGCTGTGCACATTTAAAGAATCTGTGCCGACCTACCGTCATTGTGCCTTCTACGTGCTGAGATTTTATGCACAACAGCGCAGCACCAGTCTGTTGGCACTACTCTTCTTTTCTGTGACCGAGCGTCACAATCGAGCCGCGTGGCGTGTGATCACACCCAGACGTTTTTCCTTGCCGCTTGTGGCTGCACATCAGCCTGCTGCGTCTCCGTTGTGACAGTCCAGGATAACCTGCCCTCTGCGCGGTGTCAGGTGTCGTGCATCATGGCGGCGTACCGCGGCGGCAACGTGGAGCTGGTGCGCTGGCTGTTGGAGTGTGTGTCGCAGCTGCCGTCTGTTGCCGAGCTGAAGCAGTGCCTCCGGTCCCGCTCGAAGAAGGTGAGGGTGTAACGCGGTCTCGGGGCGGTGGTGACGTGGCGTGAGTGAAGCAACCATGTGCTTTATAATACACTGGCGCTGTAAGAGGTGAAATCGTGGGGAGATGCCTATTACGGATTTCAGTTGAATGGTAATATAGCAAGTTATATCTGGAGCAGCATCTAGAGACGTTAAGCTGCTGATGGAAAACGATTATCGAGACCTCTGAAAAGATCTTTCTGACCTCCTGTGATATGTTACTGAGTCACATCGTTACCTGATATCTCTCTTCCCCTTTGGTTAATTCGCCGCGACTGAGGCTGTGCAGTGGGCTGACTGTGGTCAGTGTGTCATCGCCGAAGGGGTATCTCGTCTGGACTCATGTCCAGATCGGCCCAGGCCCACCGCCGTCTTGTTGCCTGTCATGCCGCGGCTAGGAAGGCGATGTTTTAGTTCGTCGCCCTGCCACCAGGGGCGTGACACTGATCCCTCTTCTCTCGCCCGCAGCGCTCGATAGCCCTTCGCGGGCCCCCGCTACCTCTGGGGACCCTGTTTAAGCGTCGCGCACAGTGCCTGTACTTCATCCGAGCCGAGATGAAGCAGCGGGGATACTGAGCGGGCAGGAAGGGCGAATCCTTCCTCGAAGAGCTGACTCCTGATGTCGCCGGGGAGAAGTGGAAGAAACCGGTCACCAAAGACAAGGTGCACTGGCGTGTACCTTCTCACTCACATTGTCCATACTAATGTGCCAACGTGACCGACATGTCGCCGGGTGAAATGATGTGTCGGCGCGCTGGCCAAGTGTACCGGGCTAGCACTGACGCCGCGTGAGATGATGTGATGGCGCGCTAGCCAAGCTTACCGAGCTGGCACTGACGCCGGGGGAAGTGTGACGTCAGAGCCGTGTTCTCTGCAGCTGTGTCTGGCAGCCCTCGTCCTGTCATCTTCGCCGCAGAGGTGGTCTGCTTGTGGTGTTCATGTATGATATGGTACTGCTTAATAAATACAAATGCCTTATAAACATTGCGTTTGCCAGTGGATGTGTAATTGTGCCACAAGAAATCGGGCAAAGGGCCACCGTCAGATGATAAGTTTCAGTGGTCTATAAAGGGGAACATTTCACATGTGAGAATAGTTAAAGTAAGCATCAGATATGATGAAACGAGCTCAATTGTGACTATTCTTCACTTGTCCGGATTCCATCGGTCGTTTATTTGTATAACACACGTGGTCACATCCAGTGGCGGTGCCCCGTGCTTCCGTAGCTACCACACGATAGCGGCACATTTCGCTGGCATAGCTTTCAGTCTGGTACATTTAGAGTTTTTCTTGAGTTTCTGAACACAAATGGTTCAACTCGTCAGTTGTGTTTGTACTTACTGCTACACATCTCTCCACATCGGATTATTTATGAATGAATCGGATGAAACCGGTAATGGATGGGTCGCGCGGTCCATTACGACATTGCCACACATACTGATTACCCAACAGCACACATAGGCGGATAGCGGGCACAGACAATGTTTCGTTAGACGATACAGATAGGTTGGTGATCACTTGCTGCACTGTGAATTGCTTGCCAAGCCGCGTGCACTTGGGTAGCCCAGAATGCCAACGACCCAGAACAGAACCAGAAAACTTACCTCTGTGTTACCTAACAGCGCTGACAATGATCTGAATTTGTTATCCCGTAAAGGTGCAGCATGTGGTCATTCGGCGAAATCCCATGAAAAATTCTGAGTTGTGACCACTTCAGTTTAAAACCAACGTTTGTGGTAAATAGAGTTCTGTATATGTGTCCATTTTTCTTGACATATGGCCCCTAATTCATGCTCCCATTTCACTTGCGAGTGTATAGGTAAGACAATGTGTGCTGGTCATAAAAGCGTACTATAACCCCACCTTGCTGTTTCCATGTATGTGGTTATTTGATCATTTGCACAAGGACGGCTAATAGCAGTAGGCCTTTCCTGCGCCAGTATCTCTTTCCATGATCTGAAAGAGGAATTGATCATGATCATAACATGGCATGATGAAGACATGATCGCGATCTGTGAGGAATGGCATGCGGTATGGACCGCCAGGTCAAAAAATGTCCGCACCCGACTTGTACGTGCAGTTGGTTAGGCATTCAGAAGCTTTCGGTTCTGATAGTCATAGAACTCACTTATTTGAACAACTGAATGATGTATCACCTGATGCTTGTGAATAGGCTTATTCTCCTCTAAATACATGTCAGAATTGTTCCATCGAACTTCGACTGGAATATTTTCTCCGTTAGCTTAGGCTGTACTTAACAGTACGGTTTGCGTCCAAGCATTTAGTACCTCCTACTAAAATACATATCCATCTAAGAAGTTAAGTGACTTTTTAGAGTCGATGTCACAGTGCAGCGGGGATTTTCGTCCTTTATTTTAAGTCGATATTGTATAAGCTCCTTCCACTAAGCTTTGTAGTCGGAGTCAAATATCTTCTTAATCCAGACAATTTTGAGGCTGACGGCTTGAACTGAAGGTTCTTGGATGTTCAAACCTCCCATGTAAAGACGGTTTTTGAGTACAGCTCGTTTTATTTTGTCCCGCAATCTATTCCAAATGAAATGATAAATGATGTTTTCTATTTTCTTTAAAATCGACCTGTTAGACGTTTCTGATACTGTCATGAGATATGCCAGTTGCGAAAGGGCCTCCGACTTTATCGCGTCACCTTTCCATAGACCGTAAGGCTCCGCTCAGAGCCATGGGCTCAGCTTTCCTTGCAGTCCTTCTATTTTTTCAGAGGAGTGAAGATCGCCTAGATTCTCGCATGTCGTTGTTCGTTTAACTCCCAGTGCAAAGCTGGTCTGTCCAAACACCTCGCGTCTTTTTTCCGTGTTCCGACCGGTCCATGAAAATGACAATATCATCGGCATAGGCTGATACCTTTCTTTCTGTCTCTGCAATGGTGAGCCCTTTGATACTATTATGTGCTAACGGTTCAATTGAAATAAGAAAAGTAAACAGCTGATCGGCATCCTTGACGAAGGCTCTTGGAAATCTCGTATAGTTCTGGCAAATGTCCGTTTACCTGCAAACGTGCAAACGCAAATTTGCCTGCAAACAACTCTGAATGATTCCTGTTTCATGATACAGCATGCTCACCCACTTCTGCATATCGGGACCGAAATCCAGTGACAGGAGAACGCTTATCAAAGACCCCCAGTCTATAGAAGCATAGGCTTTCACAGCAAATCACAATTCACGCCAATCACGGAGAGGTATCATCCCATGTATATCAGGGTTTCTGCGTATCGTTTACATCGATGATATGACGCACACTTCCACCCCCTTTCAATCTTTCCTTAAGAAAACCAGTCTGGTCTTCGTTTATGATCTCATGCATCACCGCGTGTAGTCGTTGAGAAAGTGCTTTGGTTAATAGCTTGCAGGCAACATAAAGACGGCTGATGGAACGAAGTGAGTCCATTTGGCCTTTGCCTTTGGCTATTTTTGATATAAGAACGGTAATGCTAGATTTAAAACATTTGGAATGGCTTCTTGGTTAAACATATCGAGCAGCACGGACAAGGTAATTTCTTTCAAATCATCCCAGCACACTTTGCAGAACGGTACAATGAATCCGTCTAGTCCCGGACTAGAAGAGGCTTTCACTGAAAAGAGCGCGCTGCCTGTAACTCGTCAACTGTCAGCGGACCTTCACATATAGACTCCTCCAGCGGGTTGTGCCATTAACGAATTCTTCGGGCCCAGTAATGGCCTCATCACGAGCGTACACAGCCTGAAAATAAGCACGTCTCTCTTCTAACATTTTTTGTACATCAGCTGATGTATCGCCTCGCTTTGTTCTGAGTGTTGTACACTTATTGTTTCTTCTGTTCAGAGCATGGAAGTATGGTGCGCCCTTTCCTGCAAACTGTCACTAATTCGTTCTGCATCGGAACATATTACTTTTTGTAAGTGTAGTCATTAGTTTGACACACCTTGTCTTCAGCTCCTCTGTCGCTTCAGCCGGTAGACTGTCGCTCTACCTCCCTGAACTTTATTTCGGCAGCTCTTTTCTTGTGGCTAGCATACAGAACAATACAATTTCTCAAAACACAAAACACGGTGGGTAGCAGGGTAGTCTTTTTCATCTTATCTGACTCGTTGTCTGGAATCATCCCTGCGAGGAGTCAGACGCGTAGAAGGGTTTCGATATGAATTCATTGGAAAATAAAACACCACTGTTTGTCACCGCCTTTTTTCGGAAGATCGGTGAGTCTATGACGTATGGTGCGGCCCTGATCTTGAGGTTTGTGCTAACCTGCGCTCGGCCGGGGGTCTGAGGCAACCGCATCTGCCCCGGGGGTCTGAGGCAACCGCATCTGGCCCGGTGGTCTGAGGCAACCACATCTGGCCCGGTGGTCTGAGGCAACCGCATCTGGCCCGGTGGTCTGAGGCAACCGCATCTGCCCCGGGGGTCCTGAGGCAGCCGCATCTGGCCCGGTGGGTCTGAGGCAACCGCATCTGGCCCGGTGGTCTGAGGCAACCGCATCTGCCCCGGGGGTCTGAAGCAACAGCATCTGGCCCGGTGGTCTGAGGCAGCCGCATCTGGCCCGGGGGTCTGAGGCAACCGCATATGGCCCGGTGGTCTGAGGCAACCGCACCTGGCCCGGTGGTCTGAGGCAACCGCACCTGGCCCGGGAGTCTGAGGCAACAGCATCTGGCCCGGGGATCTGAGGCAACCGCGTCCGGCCAAGGAAAAGTTGACTCCCCCTTGGATCTCAAACTTTCATATATTGTACGAGAAAAACAAAGATACCGTTTTTAAGTCTCGCCACATCATGAAGAATGCACACCAAATGTCTGTTCTTGAGTCAAAGATGAAAGCCATCAGACTACATGGACGATGCTTTTTTGTTTTCATTCACGATGTGCTTCCGGCTAAGCTTATTGTAGTTGTTGCAGCTGTGGGATAAAAGAATCCCAGGACACAAAAATACCGCTGTATGCTGACCTGAAGGTAAGCTGAGGTCAACTCAAGTCAAGTTCAAAAGCCATTCAAATGAGGAAAAATTGAAATGCTATCCGGGTAAAGTTACCAGTGCAATGATCTTCTGTGGTCAGAAACAATGAGTTGTGCATCTACAGGTACTCAAGATCGCACAGCTTTTGTAGGCATTATACACAGTCCCTTCGGCGTTTGACAATGTATTTGTAACAAACTGAGAACAAGCACGTTGGAAATTATGTGGCATCAGCTTCACGAACACAATATAAAGGTGATAACATGCGTCGCACTCGTGCATTTAACCACTCCGCTAATGATAACAGACGTCGTTGATCTTGGATGACCTCATATGACCTTAAGTATTATTACGTGACCTGTTGGGGCCTTATGATGCATTGCAATGATATCACAACATGTTTTCCAGTTAGATGATCAAATTCTACGCCCAAAATTACCTATTGAACTGTCTATTTAAATCAGCCTATATTTTGCAGAAGGTATTCACACAGGTAAGTCATGACCTAGGTCAATTTCATGGGCTCTGTGGTCATCTTATGGTTGTGCATGTGAGTTAATATTCTTTTCCTCATATGCAAACATCAAAACTACACAAAAATGTGTCAAAT